CCTGAAAAACGTATGAATAAACAGAATGCAAAATGATCTCTGGCATGTAATATATATGAATATGAACTATCAAAAGCGGTGAAAAGGAAAATGGCCGCCATTACAGCTGTTCATACCGGTTCATACCCAATGTATGTTATGTACATACGCATAAAAACAAAGTTTTTAAATTTAATACATTTTGATACAGAATGTATTTCTTTTTATTTCAAAATATTTATCAGAAATAAGTGTCTTAATAACAGCGAGAAATGTAGTGTCGATATACTCCATTATTGTTTACACGAAGTTTCCAAACGTTGCCAAAGAAGGTAATGTAATTCAGGAGTAATGAGATTTGTTCATTAGTATTCAAAGTGAATGCGTCATAGATTGATTTATCATTTATGTTTTACTGTCGGAATTTTTCCAAAAAAACGAATGAATTTATTCTTTCAAATTTTACAATTTATTAGTCGGTAATAGCAAGCACCCATGCGTATTATATTAAACTAATCATTTCAGTTGGTGTTTATTCAGTTGTATAGGTACTTAAAATGTATTTTACAAATCTGACAGAATCTGACAGTTGCGGCGAGACTACGGGGGTAGGGGGCGCCATGAGTATCAAATCTCTACAGTTCATGGCTTATAATCTTATTAATCTAATAATATGTTATGTTTGAGTTATTAACGCCCCGTTAATAATATGTTAATAATTAATAAGATTAGTATGTTAATGCCTGTAAATCTATAGTCCGATTTGGATGAAAATTGATACACAGCACAAGTGGGGCAATAAAAGAATTTTGGCATTTAAACTGGTCCATAAAACTGATCCGAACTGGTGCGAAATTGTAAAAAACTATCATATAACCGTGGAAATTATCAGCGTTATTGTTTTCCATTCCATTCTGTGTAAGTTATAAATGTTCACAAACAATGATGCCAATTATAGAAAAGATTTTCACCTTTTAAATAAACTAGTACTCGTGTTCACAAAATCAGATGAACGGTAATAACAGAAAAAACTACAAAATTCATTAAATTGATCTTTTCCTTTAATTCAATTTATCGATATGTATAAAATTAACAAATCGCCATGCAAACGTGTCATCAAAACATTCGTGTGCATGATGTAGATATTCCAAATGATCATCAGATTTGTGTATTAATATTTAGAATGATGTTGATGGCTTGTTGTAACTATATCCCTCTGCGTTTGAGTAGCTGAATGATTTAGGTGCTTGTGGAGCAAGTGGTTTCAATGGGGTGAATGGCTTCAATGGAGCAATTGGCTGTTGAGCAGTTGGTTGTTGTTGAACGACTGTCTGTTGTGGGGCGATTGGCAATTGTGGGGCAGCTGGCGTTGGTTGTGGTAGCTATAAGAATTTACGTATAAATGTGGTCAAATTGACAGTTTTATCCATGATCTTATATAATAATTAAATCATATTAATAAGATATTGATTCAAATAATATTATGCTCTCATAACAATCTTACTGACTAATAAATGATGAGAGCTTACTTGTGGAGCTGGAGTGACTGCCAATGGTTCTGATTTGAATGACAGTTCAGGAGACAAGTTAAATTGAGGAAGAACTTGAGCTGATTCGGACAATGCTGGAAGCGGGGTGGTTGAAGCGATTGCCGGAAAAACGGTTGGTCCGAATGATGGAAGGGCAGTTGATGCAACTTGGAAGCTCAATTGTTGCTAAAAATAGGAAAAGAATAAGTACTGTTACTAATGGTATTCAGAAGTATTTAAATATATAGAATATTGGCTCTAATAAAATCTTCAACGTAAAACTCAGCGATGCACGTTACCAGTTAATCGGCTGGTACACAGTTGCGGCTTCGGCAATACATTCGTTGATGCGAATAAAGTGCGGATACGGTTTACCAGTTACAAAGTGTGTGCATAGCGCGTGAATTAAGACGACACATCACTTCGTAAGAAGTCGGACGCTTCGCACATACGTTGTAGCTGGTAAACCGTGTTCGCACTAAATATGACATATAAAATTGTACACACGAGCCACAGTATGCTTTGATCCATATTCACATCAACGAATGTATGACCGAAGCCGCAACTGATGAAATGTGCTGTGTACCAGCCGATTAACTGGTAACGTGCTTCGCTGAGAATCTATAACAGTTCGATTTGAAATGATCATTGAATGAAATGATACTTACTTGAGGGAGAGCAGTTGGATCAAATGCTGGCAAAGATGCCGAAAGTCCCGAGTATGGTTGAAGAGCAGCCGATGAGTATGCGGATGGGAATGAAGCGTAAGCTGAGGCAGGGAATGAGGCATAAGCACCTGGGAATGATGAATAGGCAGCTTCGACAGGGAAAGCGTAAGCAGCTGATTCATATTGGATTGGCAATTGGCTGTATTGAAGTGGCAAGCTGTATTGATTGTATTGAGCATCGAAATTGTATGCTTGTGCGGCTGGCAAAGCAGTTTGTGCGGCGAAAGCTGCGTTTTGTGCGAACGATGGAAGTTGAGTTGGACCGACTTGCAAGTTCAATTGTGCGCTAGCGGTTTGTGGTTCTACGTATTTTTGCTACAAATGTAAAGTAAAACGCTATTAACGGTTACGTTTCCATTTCACCATTAAATGTAAATAAGACACCCGCGTATAATCATGTATTGAATACATACAAAATACGAATTGTGAAATTGTAGAGCGCCGTCCATAAATGACGGCAAAAATTAGTACTTATTGGTGTGATTTCGCAACATTTCATAATATGTCGAAATCACTTACGGCTACTTACACCTGATTTTGCCATCATTTATGGACGGTGCTCAAAATCTGACAATAAGTGGATCAAATAAGATAACACATAATATGTAAAACTGTGCGTTTTTCGAACATAAATTGGTGGTACAATTTTCAAAAACTCATGATATTAGTTCTGTTGAAATTGTTTGTTCATACAATTCTAGATTAAATTAGACATTATTCATTGACTTACGAGAGGAGCTTGAGTAGCAAGAGGAGCTTGGGCAGCGAATCCATTTCGAGCGGCAACAGTGGCTTGAGTAGCAAGAGAAGCTTGGGCAGGGAATTCATTTTGAGCGGCAAAAGAGGCTTGAGTAGCAAGAGGAGCTTGGGCAGCGAATGCATTTCGAGCGGCAAAAGAGGCTTGAGTAGCAAGAGGAGCTTGGGTAGCGAATGCATTTTGAGTGGCAAAAGAGGCTTGAGTATTAAGAGGAGCCTGGGCAGCGAATCCATTTTGAGCGGCAACAGTGGCTTGAGTAGCAAGAGGAGCTTGAGTGGCAAGAGGGGCTTGGGCAGCAAATTGTGCATTTTGTGCACCTTGGGCGAACGATGGTCCGGCTTGCAAGTTCAATTGGGCATCGCTAGCGACTTGTGGTTGTGAATATTTTTGATTTGGCAAGTTGCTCAATTCAGTATCGACATAGTTTTGTTCTGGTTGTGGTTGTTGTTGTGGTTGTGGTTGTGGTTGTGGTTGTTGTTGTGGTTGTGGTTGTTGTTGTGGTTGTGGTTGTGGTTGTGGTTGTGGTTGTTGTTGTGGTTGTGGTTGTGGTTGTGGTTGATATTGTTGTTGTTGTTTTGGTTGTTCGTAATTGTAAGCTGCATCATTTTTGTTCAACACGTCAGTGACTTCAGCACTGACAGCAGCAACCAAAATAGCCAAGACCAAGAATTTCTGGAAAACACAATAATAAACAACAATGACATAGCAATTTAAAACCAAATTTACTTTCGCTTTCACATTCACATTCACTTCATCTTCTGATTGTATTTAATCCGATTTGATGATTATAATCCATTGAAAATGGTGCACAATTAGACATGTAATAACTGAACTTCTTGATTCTTTAGAGGATAAATAGCGTATTCTTTTTTCTCTCACCATTTTAACGAATAATTTTTTTTTTGGTTTCCAAGTTGTTCCGTAGCACTCAACTTGAGCAAATGTGTTGGAATGATTGGATTAAGCTCTAGCACCATCTTTTATACTGAAAACGGGTACATTTAGAATCGCATCTAATGCGGAACCGGTCTACATATCTATCATTAAATTGATTAACGATCGATATTACGGCCCAGAAAGAAGCAGCGAAAATAGCGAAAATAGCGAAACATCAGAAGATATGATTGCGCGATAAGCAAAAGCAAATGCAAAAGCAAGTCAAACATAAATAATGCCGAAAGTGGTGTTTACGATGACGTTCCATTGCCTGCACGACCAATGTGCTAGGTCGAATTTGCATTAAGCATACCAACAAATTTACGGCACCCATTTGAATTTGACTTTTTGGACGCTACACATATCACCGAAATGATCTATCTATATTTGCGAACATGCTAAAATTCACCGAATTGTTTATATCGTTAAACTTATGGTAATTGGCCGCTTGTTTCTCTCTCGGTTCCTTTAATTTAGCATAAAATTAACAAGCGATGATAAAATGAAGACGAAAAAAGAATTACCAGTCATGGGTTCGGTGCCTTGAAAAAATGTAAAATGAGAGCAAAAATGTCACGCACGCAACATTGAATGTCACCGCAAAAGAGAGCAGCGATGGAGAAAAAAAATTGTGTGGGCACGATGAGAACATCGTTTGACGACATGGTGTCGAGAGTATGTTTTGTGGGTAACGTTTGTTTTTTTTTAATTTCTATTCGAATTCAGTTTCGGTTTGGGTTGTTTGGCTATTTCGTTAGCATTTTTACGAAGAAAAACGGTATCTACGGGTTTGACCTTTACAACAATCAACTAAGTGACAACGACGAAGACGACAACGATAGCAAAAGCCAATGTTAGCTAGTTGTGTCATGATTAATTCATTAATGGATTGATTTGATTTAGTTTGAATTGGACTGGATCGACTGAAAAGCATTATGACTTCCTATAGCATTTTATTATTTGCTCCAAATTTCCATTAATCAATCAATCAATAGTTTTTGGATTGGGTTCAAACCGAAACGAAACGCACCGAATTAAATTAAAGCTGCTGATCCTAAACGGTGATAGTGAATAAATTGTGAGGCAAACAATAAACGAAACGAAAGATAGACTGCACGCAAACAAGCTTTAGTTTTTTTTTCAGTATGAGATCGTTTGTAAAGCGGGTGACACGACCCGCTCGTTGGATGATGCTGCTGCTCTGTGCTATTGGTTAAATTGCAGCGTATATGAATGGTTTGGAGCGAAAATGTAATACAGAAAAGTTGAGCGGAAAAATGTCAATTGAAAAGGGATAGGATACAGGTTACTATATAGCTAAGCCTTTTCCGCTCATTCATCATCGACTTCTTTCCGCTCAATTTTTCTGTATAACATTTTCGCTCCATTTAAACAAAGAAGCCGAGAATTATTCTATGGTCGCGGTGCGCGTTCGTATTTTCAGTATAATAATTTTTCTTCACACGACGTGCAGAAAAATTCAAGTGCACCCCAGTGAAGCAGAAAATGAGGAAGCCGAAAAATTGCGCGCACTTCGAGAGGAATTTTGAAAACAATGAAACATTTTATTCAGTTTCCATTTTCAGTGATCTAAAAGATATGTCGAAAGTTGAACTCACGGAAACACTACTCGATCATGAAATGTTATTGCGTGAAAAATATTATAAACTGCATGACACATTCTGCCAATCAGATCCATCCAATGTCATTACATCGAATATAATTAATTAATAATTGTTGCACAAGAATTTGATTTGGAAATGTTTGGTGCCGGACAGGGCATGACAAGTATTTATGGATAAACGTTTTCTGAAAAGCACACATCATGCTTTAAAACGTCTGCGTCAACAACATTAAGCAAGAATTCGGGACAATGCCTCGGACTATGGAACCCGGAAAGATGAAAAATGTTAGTTTTACCGCAGTGCATTGCTGGCTTTTCTTTCGCCTGAGCGATCAAAGTGAGTCTGACTAGAGATTAGAGAAAGTTGTTTGCATATGACACAGTTGATTCCAACTCAATGCAGAGAACATCGATTAAACTGGTATTTTCATTGATAATTGAACGGCTTGCATAATCGATATCCATCGACATCATCTCATTGTTCGGCAAGTTCAGTGTATTAAGGTATACAGTTTTTGACACACAGAGAAAAACAATTTTTTATTAGTGCTGCAGTGTCACAAGAGGTACAAATCTGGTAAAATAACGGAATTTCAATGTCAAACATGTCGAAAATCATTTTGCTTGCGTATTTGTCTCGTTTGCCTCGAATGATAGCAAAATTGTGAACAACATTATATGCGATATTTTTTTCTTCTACATTGGCATTTTGAATTGGAAATTGAATTGATTGGACGAATAAAAAATAAAATTTCAGTTTCTCGTATGTGAAATTTTTTTCCTTCATTTTTCTGTATAACATTTGATACAGTTGATACTATTCTACCGTTTCTTTCCGAAGATGCACCATCCGATTGACCTGGTGGCTTTAACGAATGCACCGTTTTACCCTTCGCTGGCTCAGTAGTCTTTTCCTTACGAACACATTTACGATCATTCGATTTTTGACTCGACGCCGGTTCTGGATTATTAGTGTTACTTATTGACTCTTCCATCTCCATCCAATGGTTACTTGTGTTGTCGTACAGTCTGAACGGTCACTTTTTCACTTTTGACTGACTCTAGTTGCATTTTTCCTTATGCTTTTTGCCATGTTGACGACAAGGCAACAATGCAGTCGCACGAACACGAACTTTACATGGAAATCTGCGGAAACTGAATCGAGAAAAAAAGGGGAATTTAGTTAACATTGATGTATTTTCAACACAATTCACGATATACTTTCAAAGCGAATCGGCATAAGTTCGGAAGTAATGCATACAAAACTTACTTCTCGAGCACATCAGCACTCTCGAATTCATCGGTTGTGTCCATTACATATAACGGTAAAATATGCAATTGTTCATCATCAAGTGACATTCCGGGTGGTTTTGGTTTTGGTTTTAATAAGCCCACCTGAACGATGCAAATCGCGATGTGCATGATCACAAAAGTCCAAACATGTGGTAACACCTAATCGAGAAAAAAACACATTGTGGTTATCGTTTATGTTTTATAAATCGACGTTTAAAACGTAATTGTTTTGCAATAAAAATAAACGAAAAACACATTTGGATTTTGTAAATTTTGCCTGGAAATGGTTTGCTTACTTTTAATCTCACCCGACAGCCAGGTGCCTTGTTTTCATATGCTTTTGGTGTGAGTGTTTTGTAGAGTGGACTCAACATGGTGGCCAGTACATTGATGTGCTCTTCGATTTCCGCTCTTCACTTTTCACCGAAAAACGGAATTTACGCACAGTTTCGATCGCATCATCAACAGTGAAATGAAAATGATTTGGTGCTTGTGTACGATTTATTCAAATCCATATCATCATTGGTTGATAATTTGTCATACTTAAATGATATTTATCAAGTGTTGAACCCTGTTTTTGTGGATTATATGAAATGCCGTGAAATGCTTGTTTTTCATCATAAAATGCAGAAAATCTATGTTCATTCGAAATCTTACTTACGTCATCAATTTTACGATTTTTAATACCATCTGAGGTATGATGACCGCTGTTTGTACTATGGATACTTAGTCCTTCTCATAGCTGATCAATTTGGTGAGATCGGGATTTTTTGTATCCGTTTGCTTGTCCGCATCACGCATTGCATATGGTCTTGGGCCAAAATATCGATTACTGATAGGCAGAGCTTGAATATGATGGAATATTATTGTTCTGCGCCGGTACTGAACGTGAAACTTGATCGTTTGGCGTATTTGGCGCCGATGACTCTGATTCAATTTCTTCACACGATGTGCAACAAAATTCAAGTGCACCCCGATAAAATAATACAACAACGACGACGACGACGACGACGTCAACGGAACTCAGACGAAATGCAACACACTGCACTCGAAAAAGCGGAACAGTGAAAAATCACATGCTCCGATTTCATTGTGCGGCGCTGCAACATTGCACTTGGAAAATGTAACGAGTGTGTTGGTTAGTTGATTCGATAGAGAGAGAGAGAGTGTGTGTGTGTGTGCAAGTGCGATTTAGTATTTCATGGAGGAAAAAAGGGCACGGGCACGAGAAATTGGTGTATATGGCTGGTTGTGCCTGCATGCCTGCTGTACCGATATAGTTCAGTTAGTCGACATCGACGTCGACCGTGTGCATGTGTATTTCACAGTGGAACATTTCCTAGCTACATAACGTACATAAGGATCGTGCATTTATATGCCACAAAAATCAATAGTATTCTGGTGGTGTACTTTTTTATTGTGCTTCTGCTTCTTCTTCTTCTTTTTCATTTTCTCTTTGTTGTGTTCTGCTGTTTCAGTTGTGCATCAATGCTGGCTGGCTGGCTGACTGACTGGCTGTATTTTGAGCGTATGGATTTATGTATCCCATTTTTCAACAACGCATTTAGGTCAACCTGTCTCTTATGTACACTGCCCCAAAAGAATGATTGAAAGAGAGAGATAGAGAGTGAATACATGGCGTTATCGACACATTTACAAATGTATATGTACGATTTAATGTGTCGTATGGATACGTGTATAAGCGCCAATTATCAGGATCTACAATTGTTAAATTGCTCACTGAATTTCGCTGTGCGTTATCTGTAAGTGTGTTTTCGAAATGTGTTTTCGTGCCACATATTTCGTTTATTGAATTGAGCGTGCCTACTCGCGCAAGAGAACTGTTTGAGATTTGGCGTGTGCGTCTTCTGTAAAAGGTTTGACTGCTAATGAAATGAATATGAGTTTTGAAACTAATCGATAAGAAACCACTCCAATTAACGAAAATGTTTGAAACTTTGGCTACACACATATATCAATCGATGGTTTATATTGACTCTGCATAGTTGTCATCTTTTCCATTTTCGATGTCTTACATATATATATATATATATATTATATATATATGTACGGTATGTATACAAATGGTCTGCTGCTTTTTAGCGCGGAAGCCACTCTTTCGCATCGGAGTTTCGCATATTTCAAAGTTTGCCGATTTTCAAGCATATCGAACTATTTGACCTAAATTAGAATAGTCTCTGTACACATAATTTGTCCTGGTACACGTAACTCTTGCGAAAGGAATTGAATATGATTGCGAATTGAGAGCGCAATTTCAATTAACTCTTATTGAAGTTTTGCCTTGGAGTTGGCAGCGCTTGAGATGGATGTATCTTCCTCATCGTCGTCGTTGTTATCGCTTATTGTAGAGATTTATACATAAAGATAAAGTTCAACGAATTTTTTTTTCTTTCGAATACGATGATGCCCATATTGATTAGCACGAGAAACGTGCTGTGTTATACGCCCAAAATTAAAGTGGTGCTCAGTTCAGTTAAATTCCATGCGAAGATGTTAACGACAAACTCGTAGATAATAAAAAGAATTACATTGGTAATCCCGAACTTTTCCGTACCGTTCAACGCAGCGCCTTCTCTGCACTAACGCCAAATGCTGTTAGCAAGAGTCACTATAGTACAACGTACGTCAAATTCAAAAGCTTGTATATATATGTATACATGTGTCAGTTGCTTATTGAGCGATTTTCTGTTCTCTAGCTCTATTTTATTTTTTTTTCACTAAATAGCGTAAATATTTGTTGCGTAAAAATCAATCTTCTTATTTTTAAACGTAAAATCAAATTTTACAATAATACAATACAAGAGTACCCAGAAGGAATTTCACTGTTTTGAATAAATACGAACAAGTGTCACTTCATTTGTTTACTTTCTGTTCACGAGAATCATGTTATGTTTTTTTTAATCAAAAAGCGTATTTAACTGTTCATTCCAATGCAAAAAATCAATTTTCTCATTTTAAAATTTCAAATAAAAATGTTTCCGTATTTTTGCGTATTTTTGTCAACACAAGAGTGAATAAAAAAAGTTCCATCGAGTTGTAATTTCATTTGTTGACATTTCATATTCCGGCTATTGGATATATTAGGATATACTGTTATCAACTGTTTTGAATCGTTTTGAACGGTTTTGAATGGTTGTTTTTTCACACGAACATAAAAACGTGCTTGACTTCACTGAAGTCATTAATATCCCTTGATATATTTTCAAAATTAAAAGAAAAAATTATTTCATGGCTCAGAATCGAACAGCATTTCACTATTTACATCAATGTGTCATCATTTGTCACATATCATCGGCTTTGTTACTCTTGTATTGACAAAAACACGAAAAAAAAAATTGACTTTCCCGGACTTAACGTTTTAAAATCAGAACGTTGATTTTTCTGCATCGGATTAAAAAAATATTGACGTTCTTCAATAGAAAAAAAATTAAATTGAGCTGGAAAACTGAAAATCGCTCGATGAGCAACTTAAACATGTATACATACGTATACAAGCTTTTGAATTTGACGTAAGTTGTACTGTAGTTACTCTTGCTAACAGCAGTTGTCGCTTCTGGGCTCGTTTGTATGGGAATTGACAACAAGGCGCTGCGTCGGTACCGTTTGCCTGCGTTGTCTGTAGGTACTTTTGGTTATTTTTTGTGAATTTTCTTGAAAGGCAGCGAAAATATAATAATAAAAATAAAGTGAAAAATCGGATACTTCAACTAAAACTTCGACAATTTTGTATGAGAGGTACCCGTAAACCGATTCCTATTGGCTTCAAACTTTCTGGGGTTTCATTTTTTGGAGAAAAAATAAGATTCTGAAAGTTTCATGTTGATCGCATTTGCAGAAGATTGATTTTTTGTCCTCAATTTTTGTCGAAATTTTCTTGGAAAAAATTGAGGGTCAAAAACCAAACTTCTGCAAATGCGATCAACATGAAACTTTCAGAATCTTATTTTTTCTCCAAAAAATGAAACCTCAGAAAGTTTGAAGCCAATCAGAATCGATTAACGGGTACCTCCCATACAAAATTGTCCAAAAATCGGTAATTTTAGTCAAAATTTCAAAAATTTTGTATGGGAGGTACCCGTAAATCGATTCCGATTGGTTTCAAACTTTCAGAATCTTATTTTTCTCCCAAAAAATAGATTCCCAGAAAGTTTGAAGCCAATCGGAGTCGATTTACAGGTACCTTCCATACAAAAGTATCAATTTTTTGAGGTTTTTCTTAGGGCAAGTACCCCAGGATCAAATCGAAAATGGCTCATCTTCGAACTTAAACTAAGTTTTTCGAATAAAAAACTTTTGGCGTTTCCAGATTTTGATTATCTCAATTATTTTTTGAGTTATCGTGTTAACACACACCAACGACGACAACGACAACGACAACGACAACGACGGCACACGAACGGAAAAGTGTCTCAAAAAGTGGTTTTCTACGCGTTTCATGAGTTTTTATGATGATCTAAACCAATTTTGCGAAAAAAGTTTTCGGGACCAATTCCTATACTTTCCCTTGACACGTTGTGTACGGAAAAGTAATATTACGTTAAACATTAAATGTACATATTGGACTGTTTGATCAATGGTTAGGTAATCATAGATTTGATGTTTAAAGTGTTAATGATCATTCGAAAGAGAGAAAGAAAAAAAATGTTGGAGATGATTTCGATCGAGAAATCACTAAACTCATTTTTACTAATTAACATGCTACTAATATATAATGCAAATTGTGAAGCAAACCAAATGTTGGCAAATAAACAAAAAACCAACATCGAGACATTAAGCTGTTGAGCTTGTTAAGTAATGTTAAACGTCTCAACACTTGAAATATTGTGCAAGTAATTTGCTAATCGATTCCTTTGCGTTTGATGATACAACGACATTAATTACACATTCTGATAAAAGTTTTGATTTGGAAGAAATCATCTTTCTCTCAGCGCATTTTGTACAAAGTTCAGAGATTCATTTATTCAATACATGCACTAAAATACATTAGTAAAGTAGTGTGTACATATGCGACCGCATGCCATACATTTTTGGATCTTGTACATACTTCGTCGTCTTCTTCTCTTTTTTTTCTCATCTTTTTGTTGTTGTTTTAATTGTGTGATCGAACAGAGACTGCGTAATATTTATCTGGGTCATGAAGAGATTCTAACCATTACCATTTGTTACGGATGTCCATGTCCATTGATTGCAACGAGTGTGCAATGGCCCAGCAGCAACAACACCAATACTAATGCATCGCACACCACAATGCATACGCAGCACTAACAACCAAACGACATCCAGGAATGTACATTTTCACACACAATGAGTGCACATAAATGACGACGACGACGACGACGATGACTACGTCGACGGATAAAACAGCGACGATCGACCGACCGACCGACCGACGAAAGACTCCATTGAATGGCTCGCCCCATATATGCAACACCCTTTGACTATGTCGACCATGTCGACGACTACGCTAAATGAAAATCAGAACATCAACATTGAATAAATCCATTTTGATGCAATCAATTGAATGTCGGACAGCCAGCCGTCCAGTTAATATTTTTCTGAAAGCCGACCATCCAACTACTACAACCATATCAACGATTTCAATTAATTTGGTCGTTTTAAATGCGTAAGCAATTCGTAGCCCATTATCATTTACATTCGAGGCTAATCTGAATAGCAAATGTACGCTGCATGGAATCCGAAATTCAAATTGAAAAAGACGCAAAAATTTGAATAAAATGGTCATTTATCGCATAGCATGAACAAACAGTTCCACTGAATGAGTTGATTTGTTTGCGTTGTCTTATTGTAATTGCATCTGCAAAGTGGCAGGAATAGAAAACAATTTGCATGCAAAGCCATTACGCGATGCATGCACTGCCATTTATGCATGATGATTGAACGCGTGTGTGTGTGTGAGAGAGAGAAAGCGAGTATTTGTGGTTGTGCGTGCATGTTGAGGATTTTTACGAGTTTACCAGCTGTTTGAATTTCATTTCATGTGCAACACTATCCCCGATTGAAAATACAGGCGCATCGCAAACAACCAACAACAACAACAGCATTCTTCAGCTTCTGTTCACTTATGTACATACACAATTGCCGTTTGTGTACACGACGCGCGAAACCCAGAATCAAATCATACGCATTTAAATACTCATGCAGAAAAATATACGGATTTTTTTTTCATTTTCCCCTTTTTTGTAGTACATATTGCCTCTTTGGCAGCATAAGCTACGATAGCACATATAATGTGCATATTACTACAACGCGCGCCGCGCGTTCTTCGCGTATCTCGCTCTCACCGTACACGTTCACACAAAATCCATTTGATGATGGGCCGCATTTTCCCGCGGAGAGAGAGAGAGAGCTATACGAGAATAAATCGATACACTTATGTGTTGTAGGTCAGAATATGAATTTTCTGCCCTTATTCTCAATATTTCACTCTCTGCGTTCAGTTAAGAGTCATCGTGGCCGTCGTCGTTGACGGCGAAGACGATGTCGTTTCAGTTTTGCTTTTTCTTTTTAATTCTTGCTGTCCGCTTTATACTCCACCCCGTCCCATTCCGTCAACGATGCCTGTAATCCATTCTCCGTGTACTAATACCGACATAAAAATAATCGTAATAATGAATACCCGAAAGAATGGGAAAATTCAATGTACTCATGACGTGGAGCTATGAGATGAGCGCGTGCTCTCTCTCACTCTCTCTCTGTCTCGCTCTCATTCGTTCCATTCGAATACATAAACCAGTAAACAGCAGTAACACGCTTGAAGTTATCGATGCGATAGTGCACATGTAATGGAACAGAAAAAAAAACAGACCTACATTTATGCACACGCATTTTAGATGTGGCTGATGTGATGAATGAGGGGTATATCGTACAACAAGGCAAGAATCGAAAATGTGGCAAGCGACGATGCGAAACAAAGCATCAACCATCGCAAACAGCATATCAAAATCCACGCTAACACTAAAACTTTCGATAAAAATGGCACACATTCAATTGAATTTCTTTCGTTCATTTTATTTCTTGAAGCAGAGATTTCCGAAATATGTTGCAGGTGCCACCTTCCCATCATCCATTGGGAACAAAAAAAAAAGTTAATGTGGAAATGCCTCGTTGGGTCTTTAATAGTGAAAAGTTGTAAAAGCATTTTAACATCATTGCGTATGTGATGGTATGGCAGCTACGGTGCGCATTTCACTTTGAGCTACGAATATGGCTTTTCGGTACAGGCACACATAGATATCGCCGGAAGTTTTAAAATTTTCACATAAATCATCCATCGAACCACCATAACAACAGCAGGAGCAGCAATTGTAATAGCAATTGCAGCAGTAGCGATGCTCGTACAGCATACAAAAGAGAGGAGGCGAGTAGAATAGAGCCAAATATTAAATGTGAGACTGCCGCTTCTTCTTTCTTTGCTGGTGCTGACGCTGATGCTGATGTTGCTGCTGCTGCTATTGAGCTCTTCTTCGTCGTTTACCCTATTTTCACGAATACACGCGGACGATACATAACATGAATCTAGTGCTCTTTGGCTACGACGTGCAAATAGATAGTATGTGTTAGCGTTAGCTCAAATGAAAAACCGAGAAGGAGATAGTCTCTCTACACAAAATTTCGATAGAATTGAAAGAAGACAAAAGAAAAATATGCGCTAGAACCTATGCTATAGGATATGAATCGCAATATCGCAATCATATTCGGTTTGATGTACGAACGTTGCTAAGCGTGTGACCAACAACGCACCAATCGAAGAAAAAAACATGAAGAGAATAAACGTCTTTTTCGACCGCGCGCGCGTTTCCTCTTCAAGTAAAATGATAACTTCGCACATTTTCGTCAATCGACCACCACAACACAAGACATCAACAGAAAAAATGGAAAATGCAGAAGAAAGCATGGCAGAACGAAAGAACGAAAAAACGAAAGAAAGAAGTGAGATCCGTCAAACTATTGGATTGGCACACTGTGTGTGCACATGTATCCGTGACAGTCATCATAATTCTCTCTCGCTTCTTCCCTCTCTCTTGATAAAAGTGGAAAATATATGAATTGCACACACAAGTGAACTGAAGTACGGTGTGTGTGTACGTTTATTCGATTGACTATTTGATTCTCGCTCAATCAAAATCGCGCACTCACTTGCCTAGCATACGAACGAGGCGAGTGAGCGAGTGAACGAGCGTTCGTTCATTCGTTCGGTCGTCCAAGCAAGTTTTTCATCCAACAAATTTTCTCCGATGCGCCTGTATATGGAGGAATACAGTACAACATGACAATGGGCCACTGCGTTGTGAACGGCAACGATACACGGCACGTCGGTATATTTGAAAATATTTAAAACATAGGATCGAATCTAATGCGAATAAAGTGCACAGGCATCAGGCTTTCAAACACTCACACCAACAGGCAGACAGACACAAACACACACACAATGCGCACGCACACCAATGTGGAAAAACCCATCTTCATCCGCGAATATGAATGTATGGTATGTTTTTGTTGGCTGTATGTGGAGCGTGTGAGAAGCGTGTATCCCTTTGTGTGTATTGGGATGGATGAAAATATTCGCGCAGGCACACTGCATTGAAATGTGTCGACACGAATGTGCCGTTGCGATGTTTGCCTGCGTTTTTTGCCTCCTCTCTCGACTTCTTCTTCTTCTTCTTCGCTTTCAATATTATATAGAGTATATTTCGTTGTCGACGTCGTTGTCGTAGTCGTAGTCGTCGTCGCCGTTAGCCGTCGTTCTTGTTTGGCATAAATGCTGTGTGTTGTGCTACTAGTTTTGTTGTTGTTGTTGTTGATTTCTCTCCTGCTTTGTGTGTGATGTGTGTATATGTATGATCTTGGGTAGAAAGAAAATTTTCCCAAAATCGGATCAGTTCGTTATAATATCAATAGAATTGCAGTTCAACAGGACAACAAACGTCGACATTTGTGTGAACATCTAATGTAAATGGATACGGAGTTAGTTCTTAGCTAAGAGAAGAAAAAAAAAAAATAAAATAAATCACGACACAGCTACCAAATATAGCTAGAGTTTTTTTTCTATTATTATTATTATTATTTTCGGCGCTGATTTATCCAAATAGAATTTAGAGTAGAAAGAAAAAGTAAATAGTTTGGATTTGGAAATGTATGATGACACACGGATGGGGAGCATGAGAGAATAGAATAACGACGAGAAAAAAGAGAAAACATTTTTTATTCGGATTTGTTCTGCTGTGTTCGTGTGTCGTGTGCTGTGTACTGTGTTTTTTTGTGTGCAATGAATACATATATTTTTCGGTCGGTGGTGTGTAGAGTGTTAAGTGTTTTTCTCTAGTTGTGTTTTGTGCATTGTGTTGTGCAGCTTTTATCACTTGTGTTTTTGATTCGTCCCCGTTTTAAAATTGATTATTGGTTAACAATGTGAATCGAAGCAACAGACATCTAATTCTACAATTTCGATAAGCTGCAAAATGAACGAAGAAATGAAACGATGAAAACCAAGTGGGAAAAAACTGTATACGAAATAAAATACGCAGTGTGAATATGAATTTTTTCGCCTCATACATTCCTTCGAGGAATTATACATATATTTACATAGTTAGTGGTTATTATTGTTGGTGGTTGAGCTATGATTACGGATTAGTTTGTGGATTCATGCATTGATTTCATTGTGCGATGTGCATTGTTACAAAGTTTCACACTCATTCTCACTCTCTCTCGGCCACAATTCCACCTCATTCACGTCAATTGGTGATTTAGACTTAGATTTTGAATTCGAATTCGTTTCGAGTAGCCGTGCGTTGTTGTGTACTTGTGTGTATTCGTGTATGGTGTGTGTGTGTGTGTGTGTGTGTGTGTGTGTCGCATTAACAAAACAAAAACGAATGGAAACAAAAATTAAACAAACAACGTCACCACGTTGATAAACGACTCTCCTTTAAATTTTTTATCCGATAAAATCAGGACAGGCAAATTATGTCGTCGATGTTACGCTGCCTCCCCGTCTGTCTGTGGGGCGTTCAATCAAAGACGCTCACTTTGACATAGCCATAATAGACCAGGATATGATCCAGTGGTGGTTGTTGTTGTTACTGCTTTTCAGCCATTTATAAAACATGAAACATGAAACACGAAACACGAAACACGAAACACCGATATCATTTATTAAATACAATTATTATCGTTTATATCCGTTTGGAGAGTGTTTCGCCTGTGTGCCTAAAAGACAACATTTACACACAGGCAATCAGAAAAGTGTTTCGTTTTTGTTTCGCTTCACAATGCTTTTCAGGGATTATTTCAAAAAACATTTCATTTTGACCATTCGAACTCAATTCAACGGTATTGTTTCGTTGTTTCCAAATCATCAGTCAGAAGTCGTTATGTAACACAATCAAAATATTAAATGATAAATTTGATGAACTACATTCCATCTCCGTATTTCATTTCTCATCCATCCAAATAAACAGCCCCTCACGCTAGGACTTAAACGACCCCATTACATTGAATTAATCATCAGATTATTTCAATTGCACAGCAAATTCCGAAGTGATGATTTGGCCAAAGTAACAAATGTAAAACGCCAACGACTGCGAACAAAACATCCGCTCAACAGATATATTCTTGAAGAAATCAAAGCAAAGCAACAGCAACAAAAATCAAAATGCCAATTTCAATCATCACATAGAGTAACACAATAATGTGATACGGTCATCGAATGGTACATAATACAGAGAAAGAGACAAAAACAACGGGAGGGAGAAAAAAAAAGTTATGTTCTATTAAAAACAAAACAGAACAAAAGAACAACTGACCAAAATGCGCTTATTCGAGTGACAATTTTCTCCACTGAAATCGAATGTGAAAAACAAACAAAAGAAAAACAACAAAAAACCATACGTACATATATTGTGTGCGTGTCTATATGCATATATAGAGATATGTAGATAAAATAAATAGCCTAGCTTTTCCCATTCGTCTCTCATGTGATACATATGTATACGCAAAGCGAAACGCATTCATTTTCATCTCGCTGCTGGTTCACTGTTTATACTTGATGAACATACAATACCAAACAAAAAAAGAGTGTATACATAGCACAAGTATAGCTAATTGATGCGTTAATTCTCCGTGCATTCAGAATGAAATCAAAATGCAAGCGAAGCAACAATAAATGTGAATTGTACATAAAAGAGGACTAGAGAAAAAGAGAGGATGAGAGAGATAGCAAATTCAACGGACACACAAAAAATACTTTAACAAAAAGTTAAAAAAGAGAATATTTTGTGATTTTATTCAGGATGCAAACAATGTGTATCATAAACGTGTTCATTATTGAATGTGAATGTGATTGTATTCCTATGGACTCATGTGTATCGAAATTTATATTGCGCATGTTATGTCATGAATCTGTTTCGTCTTTCGTGTACAACAACAAAACAACACAAATATTACTCCGAATAAAGTTTGAACGAAAAAGGGAAATTATTTCGTATAGAGAACACAGCGAAAAAAAACGCAGCAAAATTACTTGAACAAAACTGAGAAGAGAAGAAAAGAAGAGAAAAAAACACACACAAGCAAAACGAAAGCAAAAAAAAATCAAAATAATAGCAATAATAAATATAAGTGAAGAATTGAATTGAAAACCACGGACACGTAAACGTTCTTCGCTGCAAACACACATATACATACAATATTTTTTTTCCTCTTTGATATCTCTCGCTTGCTCGCGCGCGCTAACTCACACGCTCGCTCATTCTTGCTCACACAGTCTCTCTCACACATTTTCTTTCTCTTTCCCATTTTCGACCAGTTTATTGTGCTTTTCATGGACAAAGTTTGACATTAAACTAACAAAAAAAAGGAGCAAACAATAGAATTTCGTTTTGTACAAATACACAACTCGCATTCAGTTTGATCGCCGTAAGCAGCACAACCCCAAAGACTAAACCATATCGTTAATAAAATGGTAAGTGATTAATTTCAATGTGACAAATGGCAGTGGCATTGGACAATTTTGAAGGCAGCCAAACACTTTCCTTTGAAACTCGTAGTGTTTCGATTCTCTCTCTCTCTCTCTCTCTCTCTCTCTCTCTCTCTCTCTCATGTTTTATTGTTATTTTCATGAATTCATTTTTACAAACGTCATCGACACGGATTTTCGTTGGCGACTTCTCATTTCGTTTTCGATGCTTTGTCATTTTTTGCTTTCGTTTTTCTGTTGTTGTCCGTTTATAAATTGGCACATTGCATTTTAACGTTTTTTTTGCATCTATTTTTTTCTGTTTCTCCCATTTTTGCTGATTGTGGACCGACCATCCAGGATGAAGACATTGAAACGATAACTCCAATCTACTTCGATATTGCCAAAATAGACATTTTATCTACATAAGATCTCTCAGAACGTAACGAGAAAGCAAATTATCAGCTCGATTTCCCCCCAAATTTTTTGAACACACTCGGCTTATAATGTCACAACAACAACAACAACAACAGCAGCAGCAGCAGCAACAGCAGCAACAATCGCAGCTTCACAACAATATCAACAACTCATCGGGCAAGCAAAGAGTGAGTATGACTGATTTTATCTCTCTCTTTCTCTCGCTCTCAACTCATAAAAAATCGAAAACCACAACAAATCCTTTCGTATCAAACAATTAAACACAATGAGAATGTGCCTTCCCCCCCTTCAACACTGTGTTTACGTTTATGTGTATGTTTTTTTCTACTTTCGCACTGTGAATTTCGCTTAGAATAATGGAAAAGGGAAATTTCTGACACGAAGCCATGCGATGCATGAATGCACATCACCGCCACAAACGCCAACACCCCGATCATCCGGAAATAATAGCAGCCAATCGACAGTGTCACTGATCAATGAACCGACCACAAAAGCAGACAACAATAGTAGCAACAGTAAAATGTCATCCCAATCGCCAATCACCGTAAATGCCACCAGTAATAATACCATGCAAAGCAACAACGCACAGCAATCGTCTACAACAACACCGAATTTGTTTGCGCCCAATGGCAATCTCAACGTATCGCAACTAGACTTAGAATTTCCAAAATTAACGCCGCCAAAGTCGAAATCACCTCGGTAAATATTCTCCAACATTGCAGCTTTCTATGGCATGCAATGCATATATTCATTCACCACTCAAATAATAAACAATCAATCACCACTCCTTTCGTATCTTTTGCCTTTGGTTCATCTTTATTTAATCAACATGGCTGGTGATGATGCTACACCACTCTCAATCTTTCCATGTGTGTTGGCACTTCACTTTTATTGCTAGATCTTTGTTTAATTCACAGTTTTGACTTTTCATTGGGAATTTAAAAATTGAATTGCCATATATATTTATTGGTCATTCGCACTGAGATATTTTCTTATCCACCCATTCTCATGCATTTTTTCCACACAATATCTGTCCCAAAACCAGATAATTTAGTAACAATCATAACAATAACAATAATAATAATGAAATTGTACAAATGAATTAAAATCCGAAATTCCAAATTTCACAGGAACAACAATAACTCTACTAACAACAATAACAATACACAACACAGTGCTGCTGCAGTTAATAGTAATTCCGATCACAGTAGTTCTAGTAGTAATAACAATAATGAGAACACAGGCGATGGCAATGGGATTAACCACGAATGTGTAAATGAAAATGCTGCAGGTACATATGGTTTTTGACTTCTATTCTACTTCTGTTGGTGTTGTTTTATTTTTTCAAGTGTCCAAAATACTTGGATTCGGTGGCAATTAATGTTTATTCTTTTTGTTTAATGAAATTCTTCGGTTTGTGCATCACAAAAAGGTCAAAAATTGAAAAAAAAAAATTAATCTGCGACACACAAACGAAGAATTTGCTTTGCAATTTGTTTTCTCTCTAATATTTTACAACAAAATCTGAAAATATCATAAATGGAATCGATAAAATATAAACGAAAAACAAATGGGATTGCTTGTGTTTAATTTAGGATCAGCAGCCGTTGTACTGTCTCAAAATTCAGCCGATTTATCAACGAAATCTCATACACTGGATGTTGCCAAAGCAGGCAACAGCGCGTCAAACATGGTCAGCTGCACTATATTGCTGAACGATGTGGAAAAGAAATGTGATTTATTGTTACAAGGTACTCAACAAAATTGTATCGACGAAAATTTTAGTGATAAGGACAAATCTAACGCCGACGAAAGTTCAAACGCTGTCGAATTTGTATATAAGAAAAATCGAAATAGTTCCATTACGAAAAGCGGAGGCGGTGGTGGTGGCGGCAGCAGTGGAAAGTCCAGACAAAAGCAAAATTACGGTGAGTTGAGTATGAGTGTGGCTGTGAAAAATTTCGATTTAAAATTGGGTCCAATTTTGGTTTATAATTTGATTGACACACATTTGTTTTTTCTGTAGGATACGATAAGTCGAACAGCAATAATGTTGGTCAATCGGAACCAGCACAGAATACCACTTCCAATGGTTGCCAATCGGACTATTTTTCTGTGGAAAATGCAACAGATCATTTCACCGATCAAAGTGGCGTTGATTTGTTGCAATTCTTCAAGATAACGCTAAACAAAAACGCCAAGGATCGTTATATGCTATTGCGAATCGAAAAAGAGTTGGCCGCTTTAGCGCAAGATCAAAGGTTTGTTTATTTCATTCATTTATTTGCCTGTGATTATTTTGCGGTGAAATCAAACAGAGTCACCAATGCAATTTTGGAATTTATCGATTCAAATTACATTGGTTTTTGTGTATGTGCGCACCGTTGCACATTTTCAGTCGTGACGTTATCAAGTTCCCCACAATGTCTTCGTACAATCGAATGCTGATACATCGAGTGGCGGCATGGTTTGGAATGGAACATAATGTTGACAGCACAGTGCAATGTGTCATTGTGAATACAACCAAAGCGACTCGATTACCCGAGGTAAGTGAACGGAATTTCGTTTATGGACATTTTTGATTTCGTAAAATCGGAGAGAAAGAGAGAGAGAGAGAGAGAGAGAGAGAGAGAGAGAGGGAGAGGGAGAGAAAGCCTGCTATTGACAGATGAATCAACTAACAACCGAACGTTTTGCGGTTTATTTCTCTCTGTTCCATTTTGTAGATTCGATTTAAGAGCCTGCTCACCGACACATTCAGCGATGAAACACCCAGTCGCAAAAGTATTTTAAAACGAGATACACACAGCTTCGATGAATATCGACAAGGATTGCTGGCATGTCCAGATCGTGGAAATTTGCTCGACCGCAAGGCAAAAAGCTTCGAAGAACGTGAACAAGAGTATGAAAAAGCCAAGCGACGCATATTCAAGGACATGAACAGTGAATCGATCGAACAGTTCTGGCAGAATTGGCACTCGGGTGACGGTTTGAATAATACGAGCAGCAAAAATAGTAGCAAAAATAATGTGGACGCTGGTACAGATGATGATCATCATCCACACAATCATCAATCGCATCAGTCAAATGAAGGCGGCCGCCTGGATAGACGACCAAGCGTGGAAAAGAGCCATAGCTTTGGCGGGTATGGGCCACAATCTCAAACGCGCATCGTTCGCGGCGATTCCGTTAATTCGACGAAAAGTGCTGTGTTAAACAAACAAGATTCGAATCAACATACATGGCGTTTGTCACCATCCAGTAGCGGGTAATTTCCCAGACAATTTGTCCGATGCAAAATGTTGACCCACTTTTCACACAAACCATTTTACACACTTTGCCACAACAGGTACAAGACACAATCGCAGTCACTTCGCTCCGACTCAGTGACACCGTCTCCCAGCTATGGCAGCGGAAGTCATACACCCGAACCGATACAGTCCGTGTCATCGGGCATCGTTTGGGCGGTAACCGATATGGCAAGCGTTCCAAAAGGCAGCGTTCTCATCGATCCGCAAACATTAAAACCGCTCGTAAATCAAGACGGGTAATTTCATTTTTATTGTTCATTTATCGAAAACTTCTTCCTCAATCAATTTTCTCATACCATTCTCTGTTCCGTTGTTCTATTGTGTGCTGGTGTTTCCTTTTGTGTTGAACTCATTCTTTAGATCGATCTATCATTTTGATCCGAGCAATTTGCCGCCCGGCAACAAGCTACAAATACCGAATGCTTCGCCAGCAAATACTCCGTCGCCAACATTGTCGGTGAATGAAAACTCGAGCGCAGTTCCGTTGTCGCGAAAGAAAAACCACAACAAACCGACACACGTTAGTGTTGTCGACGAATCGGTCGTCGTTGTACAACGCACAAGTGAAAAATGTGATAGAGAAAACGTTTCAAATGCCACCGCTGCTGCCATACGTGACGAAAATGGTGGCGGTGCGTGCAAGCCGGAAATCGAAGTTTCATCCGAGTTAGAAGTGACTTTACCGGAGCCAACGAAAAATATTTCAATGAATTCACTGTTGTCGCCACTAAATCAAACATACAACAACCAAGAAATACAAGACAATAACTTGGATCGAAAGGCAGACGGTACGTTGAGCTACATCGTTTGAACTCATTCGATTAATAATATGATAAACGTATGAATAACTTGATTGTGTTTGATTTTAAATGATAAATTTTATCGATCGTAGATAACTGTCAAGAGGCTGTAGTGCATCTAAATGTAAAGAGTCAATCGACTAGTCCAAATATTCCATGTGATTCGGAGACTTTCCAATTGAATCCCAGCGATCAATCCACTCCAACTAATGTTGATGTAATGATTAAATTTCCCGTTAAATTTCCAACAACAAAATGAAGAAGACAAAATTGAGAAATAAATTAATTTACTTTTGATACAGGAGAATTTGAATCAGGCAAGCAATGATAGTAAGGGATCGGCATCCAACGGGACTGCCAAACAGACGATAAGCGAAAAATCGGCACCGAATACAGCCAATCCAAGTGTTTACACAGGGAATAAAAAGGATGAAATTAAGATTTTACCAGCGGTTGTGCCAGTTTTAGGATATACAGCTGCTCCGCCAAACATATATCCACCAATTGAAGGTGGCGTTCAATTTGTTACTGGAACGCAACCAACACAACCAACCACATTTCCAACAACATATCAACAAGGCGTAAGTAGCACACCTACTAGATCCTGGAACGAAAAATGTGCGAGATGCTAAAAATGCGGTCATTTGTTTGCTTTCTCTTTTTCTCTGCCACTTTAGCTGGATGGAAGCATTTACGCTGTTCAACAGCCTATGATATACGGATATCCAACAGTGGTAATTAATTTTAAAAAAATGTATGTCGCAATTTACAAAATAAATAAAATTTTCTTCGTTCACGATAAAAAAAAAAATAGGACAACGAATATTCGGGAGGAATATTTGTGCCAATGTACGATCAAGGAGGTGCACAGGTGCCAGTTAGCACACAACAGAATGAGCAAACTGCAACAACAACCGACTATCGTCGAAACTGTAGCGTTCCGCTAGCGTTCTTCGAACAGCCATCCACCGGTAACGTTCATTTTCTTCCTCCTTTCGTGCCTTCTTCTTCTTCTTTTTTTCGAATACGTGTGAATAATTGATTGTGTTTGAAGTGTGTGCACTTTGCGCTGGGGCACACTTTGCCACCTCATTTCATTATACATATTTCAAATGTGACCGATTTTATTCTAGCCATGGCAGTGGTACCAGTTGCGTATCCAGCCACATCAACAGCTGCACAATACGCTCCTTCTCACAATATCTATCAAGGGCAAATACTTTACACATCAGATCAATATAATCCAGCGACTGCGTCTAATAATCAAGTTCCACAATACATCAACTATCCAGTTGGTTACACTTATCCGTACAACGGTACGTGTACTTGTGTTTGCAATTGAATAAAATATTTCTCGTATTTTGTGAGCGAAATGCCCACCGGATCAATATAGCAGTTTAGCAATAATAACATAATGATAATAATCATTATTTATTCCGTTCCATTCCATTCCGTGTCGTTTTACACAACAGCAGGAGCTGCTGCATATCCCTATTGGGGACAAGCAATGACTTACTACGTTCCGCAAACGATGCAGACACAAACCACGGCGGTAGCTACGAACAATACAACAAACGCAATTTCGAATAATAATAACGATAGTAACGGAAATAAAGCACACATTCAGTCGCCACATAGCATTCAACCACATCCGAGTTCAGTAGCAAAGACACCATTATACGCATCAAATTCAACAAACGAAACTAAGTCGATAACGACACCGAATGCTGCCTCGCAACCGAACGTTTTTCAATATCCACCGACTATGACATCTGCCCCATCGACGTCATCCACGTCAATTACGAACTCAACAACGACGAACGCCACTAATAACTCAGCCGTAGCAATGACATCGGTTCAATCGTTACCAAACACATCGCTTAGCGTAAGTTCGTCGTCATTGCCGACAAACATTGGGAACGATAATCCGAAATTAGTATCACATATACCAAACACAGGCCATCCATCCCATCGGTAAGTAATCACAAATGAGCACGATTTAATCGATGCATTGCGATGCATTCCATTCTATTTGTCTGTTTGTCTGTCTGATGTTCATTTATGTATGTGTTGCACATTCGCTCAAGTAAAAGAAAAAAAAAACAAACAATTTGATCGCTTTCCGCATCGGAATATCTTCTTGTATTGCGATGTGTATCGGCGATCAGATTTGTACGCTAATCATCTTTTTGTTTGTGTGTTTGAATATGAATTAAAACAAAACCAGAAACAATATTGTGTGTGCATGATTGTTGCCAATCTGGATAACAGTGCCATTTAAAAAAAACAACAACAACAACATATCCACCTATTATCGATTAAATTAGATCAATTAGCATTCCTGCATCTCATTTAATTCATAGCACGAAAAATCATCAAGCATTGCTGTCCACACCGAATGATAGTTTGAAACCAAATAATTCTAACGCGAACACCGATGAGCCTGATTCGAAAGACTTTTCAAATCATTCCAGCACGAGCTACGAACGAAAGAAAAACCTACAAAACTCGAATCGAAAGCCATTCGTTGGTGGTGGTGGTGGTGGTGGCGGTGGTCCATATCGGCCAAATGTCGGTATAAATAGTCACAATTCGAATTCACTATCGATAAACAATCAATCGTTGGGTCAACCATCGATGCCAAATAATCCGGGCATCAGTCGAAAGGGGCCGTTAATTCATCATCCCATTCCTGAATCGAGTGGTAATACGCATATTTTTACTAGTGGTGCTGGTCATCATCACGCTGAAAATACGCCGCCTGCATATAATCGAGCCAATAACACACAGAATAGTAAGTAGACACACGCATGCACAAGCACATACCACGATTTAACAAATGAAAATAGCACGACAATTTTGATTAAGAATCCATTCCCTCTGCTGGTATTTTCAAATTGCAAGGTTCATCAGCACCCCACATTGAACACTCCGAAAAAAGGCCAATCAATCACAATAAACCATTGATCGCAACATTGCCGTTAAGCAATGTACATAATCATTATGATCGTACGCGTGCTCCTCGTCCCAAACCGCTGGATTTGCGTCGCAATGTTAGCAACCGAAATACGCCGAGTACAAATTCAACCGAAAGCAACAATTCGCCCAACAGCATCGTGTCAAGTGATCAACATCATTCACATAATCATCACCAACAGGTAACCAATTAATGAAAATAGCAAAGCCGAAAGGCAAAAACAAAGCAATGAAATCGAATAATTTTACGATTTGCATAATTTTAATCACATCTTCAATTTTAATAACAGCAACATTCTCAGATACAAACCAGTTCATCGTACGTTAGCGGTAAGTATTACCGATCGAATTATCGAGAATGTTTGTTTCCCTCGGTTGATCGCACGCTCTCTCTCCCCCTCTTACGCACTGTGTCATTTGTCATATAGCTCATTAGGCTGTATGTTATACTGATCTAATTATTTGCTTGTTCCTCGTGTTTTTTTCATCTCTTTTTCTTCTCTTGTTTCTTTGTAATCACATACAGGCACCGTAAACACATCGATAATGAATCAAACCGGAATTCAACCGAACATTGGGCCTAGAGTGGTAAGCGCGACGAAACATAAAGCAGTAATTTTCCAATTTTTATTCTACTACTTCACTTTTATCCAATCAAATGATTGAACATATACTTACTGTGTTGTATTTTTTGAATTGCTCCCAAATGAACAGGTGCGAATGTACCATGGTGACATTTCCAACACAAATTCCGACTCACATTCATTGGCATCGCCATCGTCTGCATTGTGTGGTGAACCGTTTGCATACAATCCACATTCGGGAATGTATATAAAATTCGGGAAAACTTATTTTGCTCATGTAAGTTGCAAATGATGGTTGCATTTTGCCATTCGACGACATCATTTCATTAATACTGAAACTAACTACATGGCTTCACGTTGTTTAATTGCAGTCAATGGCATTTCCGAACAAGGCTCAGCAAAACGATATTAGACAATCACTGCCGCCTATTACCGGAATTTATCCAACGATGAACATGATGCTAACAGGTAACCAACGAAATAAACAAAACGCTATCGCATCGAGTCAGTGTGCAATGAAAATTGTATGGTATTTGATGATTTTCATCATTGTTTTCAGGTTATCCAACAGCAGCCCGTCCACATACAGTAGGACCGCGACCATCGCACGTCAATCCAAACTATAATAAAAATAATCGAACACCTAGATAAGAAACTTCATCTACATTCAATCCGATTCGCAACACACTTTCAGCTAAATAAACGTACTGATCACACTCCAAACAAAAAATAAAACCAAAAACAAACTAAAAAAAAAGATATTCATGAAGATGAAAAAAATCACTCCAAAAAAAAAATCAACAACTGAAAACTAAAAAAAAAAATACATAAGCTTAAAACCAACAAAAAAGATCTACCACAATAAAAGCTCCTAAAAATATATGAATCTATATGCATTAACCACTAAAAAAACATACAAATATTAAAAGATTATATGTTTAAATTGTATTCTGTAGGAAGCGGCAAGCTAAGTAATTATTGAAATCTAAAAACTGAATGTGGAGGCATATGAAGGAGGAGATGAAGAAAAAGAAAAACAAACACACACACAACAAATGGTTCTACCTAGCTTTACCAAGAGACAAGAGATAACATTAAAAGCGAAAAAAAGTGACACATTTAATGAGAAAAAAAATATTAGTTATTCTAAGTTATATTGAAAAGTAACCAAATGGGAAAAAAAATAAGACAGAAATTATTTATTTGTAAAAAAAATAAATTTAGCATGTATAAATAAAAAAAAAAATAAAATTACAACAAACGGCCTAAATTTTTCTCTTATTTTCGATTTGAACTTGAGATTTCGATTTCGCATAGGTTTTGAATAGCCAGCAATTAACGAAGCGATTAGTGAGCGAAAAAGACTGAGAGGGAAAGAGAGACAGAGATTAAGTTAGACAATAAAACAGCGGATGGTCATCACAAATATATCAATATGTATGCATCACAATTGACCTTTGGAGGAAAGAAAAAACAAAAGTTTCACATAAAAATAGTCGAAATATGCAAAATAGCAGGCTGCTACAAAAGCCACCGAACCGGAAAAAAAGTTGGAACACACGTGTCGCGATCGATTGGCGACTTACATTTCACATGCCAATCGTTGGACCCATCGAGAAAGCCCAAAAGGCACACAAAACCCATTTCAAAAGGGGCAGAGTCGCATTTACAAAGGGACGAAGTCGAAGAAAAACGAATAAAACCATTCACAAAATTGTATAAACATTTATATTCTATTATTCACTTAAATGCTAAACATCAATTTTATTTAAAAAAGGGGGTGCATTTTCAGACGAAAAGTTATACGAACTATGAACTTTGAGGATGTTTAAAAATGTTTTATTTTCTTCTTTATTTCTTTAAGTCTACGAGAAATATGATATTATTGTGTGTATTGTGTGTGTGTGTGTGTAGGTTTGTGTTGGTGGTGGTGGTGGTGGTGGTGAAAATGTGTATCCTTTATATATAGATATTTATATATTCATATATCAATATGCGTGAAAATTGTTAATCATCTATTTGGATTTCGGAAAGTGTGATTGACATAGGTAAAAGGTAAGTGGATAGATAGAGAGATTGAGAGAAAGATAGAGAAGGCGGGAGACTGAGAGATATAGTAGTGGGCGAAATGAATTTTACTGCTTTTATTTGATTTCTTTTGTTGTTGCTGTTGCTGCTGGTTTTTCTTCTGATTTTAAATTTGTTTTAGCTTATTTATATAAATCGGCAAATCTTACATATATATACCTAGCTTATAATTTAATTTACTATAATTTTTTTGTGTGTTTGAAAGTGTTTATTTTTTTTCTCCTTTTCTTTATTTTATGCATTTTTAGTGATTTACAACCTCATTTAGACAGTAATCGATACCGACAGAACAGAAATGTTCGAAATGCCAATTGATTTATTTTTTTGCTTGCATTTTATCAAAACAGAAATGGTATCACTACTACGCTATCCAATCAACGTGTTAAAAGTGAAGAAGGCAAACAAATTTTTAAAAAAATACAATTATCCAATTTGTGTTTGAAATTGAGCAAGAATGCACCACGGTTTTTTTTCCTCATCTTTCTTCATCATCTCGCGTTGTTTTGTTTTTTTTTTCTTTTCTTTCTTTAAATATATCAATATGTGTAAGCAAGGCTGTACTTGTACAAGTGTTGTACAAATTGTTTAATGTATGGTGTGTGTAATGAGTGAATTAATCGTTAAAATTATGTTCATCTTAGCATTAAACCATCATAGAGCGGTACTCTTGCATGTAAGTGTGTGTGTATGTGTGGTGCACCACATGAAATTCAAACAATTTTGTTTTTTTTTGCATGCGCTATCTGCTTGTCCTAAATTTATAAAATATTTTTTTCAATTGATTCAATTTTTTATCTTCTTTGTTTTAAATTTTATTCTATCATTTCTATTGTTTCCTCTTTTTCAATGCCGCATCGTGTACGTCACAAACAGTGAAATATATTTATGTAAAAGCGATCACCAAAAATTCACTCAAAAATCGTGCGTGTGTCGTCACAACATCTAACTGCATTTCACTTTTTCTCTCTCTTTTTTTTAAATATTCCGGTGCCGGGTAGGAGGGGGAAACTTATTCTCTCACCATACTAATTTATGTACAAATTTATGAAATAAGTCGAGATAAAATGTAGTGTTTCTCTGTGTGTGTGTATTGAACATGCCTTGATTACTCATAATTATTCCTAAAAATTATTCCTATCTTTTCTTTGTGGAAATTCAAATATAAAGAATAATTTTTTCTTGTTTTTCTACACATTTTTTCCATCTTCCTTTTCTCTCTCTCGATAAAAATTTAAAATAAACAAAATGTTCGAGCAAATGTTGTTTTTTTACTGTTCTTTTTCTCTTTCGTTATGATTTTCGACGTTACTTTTTTGTTCTCGCTTACATTTTTTTTCTTTCATTTCATCTCTATTCCGTATTGTGTTGTAAAGACTATTGCAGTAAAATGATTTTGTATTTTGTTAGTTGAATGCTTTTAGAATATCAATTCTGTGTCACACACCAAATGGTTATGGCTTCCAATTGTTTTGACGACTGCTAGAGCCCGATGCATGCTGATTTTGTTGAGTGAGTTCCAAGAGATATTGACGTTGAATTTCAGCCAAACGCTGAATATCTAAATTGGTATTTTGCATATTGTTTTTGGACGAGGCTATTGAGAAAAAAGACAGGTTTTGGTTTAGTTCAACTGTTTCCGGACGAAAAAAAAGAAGGAAAAACAACCGAATGATACTCAAGTTAGGGGATACTCACATGATTTCTTTCCAAGTGCCGCTTGTGCCATTTGTAATTGATACATTTGTACATACAATGGATTGAATTGCATTAAATGAGCCGCATTTGCAGCAGCTGCGGCTGCTGGATTTCCACCCATTCCTTGCAACCCTAAACGAAAATCAGTGTGAAATGAGGTGAAAAACATCAACAACATGAAATTAAATACATGAGAATTAGAATTATGATTAAAATCACTAGTAAATCTAATAAATCTACAACGAACCAAAAAAAAACCGTTGAACATTATGATTTTTCATACCTCGCAGTAATTGTTGTTGGAAAACCATCGCAAGCTGTGCCTGTGCAGCCTGTGCGGCCTGTGCACTACCCAAATTTCCGCCAAGTCCCGCAAGACTGCCCAAATTCCCTAAACTAGATAAATTGCCCAAATTACCAAGACCACCTAGCGCACCTAGAGCACCAAGATTCCCAACCTGCTGAAAAGTTTACGAAAATTTTCCAATTAAACCTCTTTTGCGCGGTTTCTTCAGTGAATCCAATATGAAATTCGTATGAAATGTGACAATCTTGAAGAATCGTTCAATCATTCTGTTCAACTCACTGATGAGTTTTCCAGGCTATGCGTTTTTTATTCTTCAGAATACGTTCATTGAATAGAAAATTTAATGGCTTACACCAATTAGTTTTATTACAAAATAACAAACCTGTAAACCAGCAAGATTGGCGAGCGCATTCAGTTGAGCAGCAGCAGCGGCCGAGTTTGCCGCTTCACTTTGTTGCAATTGTTGTTGCTGCTGCTGTTGCTGTTGCTGTTGTTGTTGTTGTTGTTGTTGTTGTTGTTGCTGTTGTTGTTGTTGTTGTTGTTGTTGTTGCTGCTGCTGTTGTAATGACGCTGACGACTGTGACAGAGACGCTTGTTGAATAGAGGATTGTTGCGAAGCGGATTGTTGCTGATTCCGAGACGATCTTTAAAAATTTAGAAGAAAAACGAAAAATCGTTTAAAATTCAATTCAATTAAAATCCAATGATATCAAACTAATGATCACTTCAAAAATCTGATTGAAACTAAACGAAATAAAAAAAAATGCCAATCGTTCATTTACCTCGAAGTCGTTGGCGGTGTTGCCGATTTGCTGGGTAATGGTAGAGGAGGCGTCGGTCGTTGTGTGGGCGTTTGTGATTTAGCCGGTGCCGGATGCGGCGTTATTGTTACCGGTGTGGCCGTCACAGACGGTGATTGGGTAAACGAATGCGACGAATGTGATGTGGGTGAGGGGCTGCTTTGTGTTGCCAAGCGTTGTTCGATCTCTTGCTCTTGTTGCAACGCTTTAACAAATGCTGTTTTCAGTCGATTCGTGTGCTCAGCCTTCAACGCTTTCTTTACATTGGTCGTAACGCATTGCTCACAAATAATCTTTGAATCTTTGCCAACTTGGGGAAGAGAGAGGGGGGAGAGAGAGAGAAAAGAAATACGAATAAATCAATCAGAATGTTGTTGATAAACCGGGGTAATGTCATGTGAATGTGCATTTTTCGAATTTTGATCGATGCGTGGTGGTACTCACTTGGCGCATTTGTAAAGGTAGCATTGACGGTTTTGCCTTGTTTCTCCCATTTCCATAGCGGCGTAAAGTCAATTTTACATTGCGAACAACGGTACGGCTGCTGCGGCGGTGGTTGCGTATTTTTCTCCTTGGTCAAGTAGTCGACGACCGTTTCCAAACCGAGCAAATACACAAATTCCGTATTGCTTGGATTTGGAATGAAGTTCATCTCTGGCGGTGGTGGTTTTGGTGGTGGAATTTGCAACAAAGTCTTTTCTAATTGTTTGCGCAATGCCAATTTTGCAGCCGCTTGACGCTGTGCTGGCGTTTGCGCCTCTTCTCTTGAACTCGACCGGTCATTCTTCATGGGGAAAAAGTAGATAAAAATAAAAGCAGAGAAATGTAAACATTGAAAATCGTTTCGTTTCCGGATATGAACAGCGCAAAAAAAAACAACGCAAGTCAAGTCAGTTCATTGAACTCACCTTGCTCAGCTGATCGTTATTCGAAGATATATGCGGTGGAGCCGGTGTTATCGAAACAGAACTGCTCACTTGATTCAATTTCGATGCATTGTCCAACAGATTTATTTGCTACAGGTTAAAAATCGGAGATTCATTAGACAGATGATCGTTTAGAACCCATTAACACTAATTACACTTACCATAACATCTTTTCTCGGCGGAACTGTTGTTGGTGTGATTGTTACAGATGGCGTTATTGTCAAATTAGTACCAGTCCGCGTCTGTCCATATGGCGACCGATGACTTGGTGGCCCTCCTATATGAATACACACGAAAACATAATTGCTATTGTTAGTATTCATCTTATGCCAAAGTAAATATTGAACAATTAGTTGTGCTGTTTGCCCAAATGATATTACCGGGTGTCAATGTAGCGCCGCCTGGCAATGATGAACGTGTTGGTGGTATTGCATTCACACTTGTTCTCGAGCTTCCGCTGCCACTCGGTTGTCTATATAACAGAGAATTTTGATAATCGAATGCATTTTTTTGCTTTCAAAAAATTTGAGAGGGAAAAAGATGAACGGGAATAAAGGTGTTCAATGATGAGCAACTTACCGAATCAACGGAGAAGAGTTTCGATTGGACTTTGAATGAGCTGTAATTTGGAGATTTGATGATGATGGTGGCGGTGCAGGTGTTACACTTAGCGAGCCCTTCGATGAAAGTGACAAAGCTGCTGGAATTTCCACCAATGGATTCGAACTGTTCGAAGCATTTGTGTGGGTCACAATTAGATTCTCTTTCATCACTTGCTGCGATTGTTTCAGCTTTTTCAGCAAAACCAATTTGGTCTCTTCATTTCTCAGCTCTTCTCTCAATTTCCTCAGTCCTCTATCTCGCTCCCATATTTCAGCCGCAGATAATTCCTGAAACGAATCACACGAACCATTGTGACAAAATCCCAGAAAAGAAGAGAAAGAAAGACAAAAAAAAACCGAACACAAACACGCAAAACAGTCAATATTTACGCGCAAGTGATAATGTCATACACACACATGTCGTTCTCTTTTCAATTTGTTTACCTTAATCGCAATAATCGGTGGCATTTCCTCATCGTCTGTGTCCGAGTCGATGTTGCCGTTCTGTTGGCGGCCATTTATTTTGGCTGGCAGTAAAACTATATCAGGTGCTTCCGCGTATGATTTTGGTTCAGTTCTTGGCCGTAATACGCGTCTACTGTAGGGTTCTATCGAAGTTTGTGCGAATGTTACGAAAACAATGGAAAAGAAAATCGAACATCAGTTTGTTGTTTTGTTGTTGACAGTAACTTTTTTTTGCTCATAGTAGACATACCATTATTGACGGATGGTGGTGCCGGTGTGATAGTTAAACCGGCATTCTGTGTTAATGCACGTAAATCACGTACTGTTGCATTGGATAATGAAACTGCCGATTCTCGGCCTATACTCAAATCCACCACATCATCCACTTCCATTTTCTCCATGATGGGAATTTTGGTCGCGTCACCTTTACGCGCGCGCTCTCTCTATCTCTCACACTCAATCTATCCCTATTCTTTTTTTTCTCTGTTTTACTCGTGCTTTCTCGATTTTATTTGATATTTAGTTGTTGATGCTATTTTCCACGGTTGTAATTGGTTGATGAAAACTCACTGAAAAGAATATGTGACATATGAATTGACAATGAGAAAACAAACAGGAAACGAGAAAAAAAAACACTTAAGTAAATTGAAACTCCCGAAAAATGCAAACAATACACAAATTCACGGTTCACATTTGTTCCCTCTTATACTCTATCTTCAATTTCAATTGTTGCATTATTCACGATTAAAAAAGACAATGAAATTCTATCGATCAGAGAGTGTACAATATAGAGAAGTTGAAAGAAAAAAACACCACGCACACATTCGCTCACACATACACACATATCGAGAGGACATTTCGATTGCCCAATTTCCGAAACAATGGAAAATTAAAAACTACAACTAAACCGAATTAAATTGATCTTGGATATGATGATTATTTCGTTTTTTTTATTGTTATTTTGAATGCGCGTTGCACAATTGTATCTTGTTCAATCGAGTTTTAACAAGCAGCGAGAATAAACGGAGTGCACATGAAACGGAGTAAGTGAAAAAAAAATGAAAAATATGTAAATGTAATGAATGGCACATCAACCCATTAAGCCTAATACATAATTCCATCTAACATCATTGATTTGAACCAAAAACGCGAAAAGAAGAGAAAAAAACACACTCTCGCACAATCACACTGAACACCAAAAGAGATTTTAATGAGCAAAATGGGGAAATTATATGTATATACACAGATATGTATATATATATATTCATTGGAACATCGAAAATTCGGTCGATTGAGAGCTAATTTCACATTTGCATCAACTAATCATTTTCAATGGTCACGCAACCGCACTTCTAATGCTCACTCTGATAAAAAAAAACGCCGTCTTTTTTTTTCCTTTTCTTCTGTTGTAAATATTTTTATTTTTACCTTTTTTTAATTGGCATTAAATTTCGCAACACACATACGAGCAACACGGCGACGTAAGTAATGGCAATATTTTTGCCCGAAATCACAAATACACATCAAACACGTATACGCTACACAATTTTTTTTTCTTATTGTTTTAATGCTAGACAAACTATATGTACACTAATTGAACCCAAAACCAACGAAGGCAAATACAAAAGAGAAAGAAGAAAAAAAATATTATGAGGAGAAAATGCCAAAGGAAATATATTGGTGAGCTCAATTGTTTAAAAAAAAAGTCGTCGAAAATATTATCGTATATTATTGAAACATTTTCATGCGCTTTGATTATTCGTAACTTCACTTGATCAATTCGTTATTGTTTTCATTTTGATCGGATTCGTTATTAATCTATTAATCTAAATGTACAAATTAAAAAACTTATTGAGGAAAAAAAGAAGACTCGTTTTTCAATCGGATTTATCTACGTGCATGAAAATGTGGAGAAACAAAAAAAAAGAAGTTGTCACACAATCGAGAGAATTTAGAAAATGGTAAAAACTAAGATGTCAGACTTGCGATGCGTTTGTGAGCGTAGCATATGCTGTAAGTTTTAAATGTTTCACTTCGCATTCGCTAATGCTTGTACTCTCTTATATATATATATCGGTGTGCGTATGTACATACACAACTTGTGTGTAAGTGTGCTCGAGCGTGTGAGTGCGTGCGTTTGGTTGAATTAACGTTTGCAGCGCCTCCAACTGCCAATGCATACATAATCACCCGAAACCGAGAGATGGCTATCACACACAAGGCTCGAAAGCACTTGCATCAAACATCGCGCTGACATAATCATTTCAAATAGTGAAACATATTAAAACAAATTGACATTTTAGAATGTGACCAACAACTGGCCTACTTTATCGGTTTACCACGAATTCATCATCCATCGATTTTGTCAGTCGGATGCATTTTTATTGAAGCGAAAAAGAGTGACACTTTACCAAATTCATGAATTTGTGTACGAAAAAAAGCCGCAAAACATTCATTGTTTTCATGAGGAGAGAAAAAAAAATTGTGATACAGCATTACAACGCATCGGCTTCACTTGATGCTCGTGTAAACGATTCGTAACACAAATGGAAAACAAACATGGCGACACCTTCGCTTTAATGTATGGATGTACTTGCTTGTGTTGTGATGTTGTCAATGCGTCCGATTTGACAATTGATATTAACCTCATACAAATAACAACAGTAGCAGTTACATTGCGTTGTGTTTTTGTCTGCAAAGGGCTAAAACACTTGATTTTAGACTAATTATAACTTAAACGATTGACAATTTGATACATATGCTGAATGAATGAACAAATTCCGAATTCAAATACCGTACGAAGAGAATAACCCTTTAACAAATTCCTTTTTCATTCAATTAATTGAAAGAGTTGGAGATCTCCCATCATCAGTTCCAATATTTTTTTAATTTTATCAATGAAAATCGAACGATTTATAGCGACTTGATAAATCTTTTTATCTTTGAAATTATATTATGCGACATCAGCATTTACTATGATATAAACATAGATTGTACTATTACTAAATATGAAGTCTTTGCTTTGTTTATTCAAATAAAGCATAAACGGATCGATGTAATGTTTTTCTGTTTGGTTCAATTTATGGGCAAGATTGATTAAAGAAAGAGAATGTTTTTTTTTCGATTTATGTTTTTCAAAACGAGACAACATTCTTCTGATGATTCTGATTTGTTTACATGCCATGGTTTGTAGCAATTTTCCGCCTAACAGCACCACAAATAAGTGGTGTCCGATTTAAACATAGTCGAATACTCGATGAACGTGTGAACCAATGATGATACAAACGAATAGATAGAAGAAACGGTGAAATGTCATCGGTTCGCTTGTGAATACGTGCGCGTGCCTGTATGTGTGTGTAGTGTGAGATACTGTCAATCCAGCAGCGGGGTTTGACAGTTTGGTCACGAAACACAATAGTAAATATATCCTCACAAAAATCATAATAATCACAACCACAACGATAGCAGAGTAGAGCAGCGAAAACAGCAGCATAACTGGATGGCATAGGCACTTGCTGAATCGCAGGAAAAATCAATACGTTTTGATATATACAAAACGTTTCGCACACGACAGGAGTAGTACGACGTGAATTGTGTGTGTTACAACAAACAGAAGAAGTGAAGAAGAGAAGAAAAAAAAACACACCGACCGAAGCACGAAAGAAAATTTTCGCTTTGACTAAATTCGGTTTCTGACACATTTTTTTTTCTCTGGAAAATTGTGCATTTCAAGCGAAATTACAATACTGTCCATTACTTGCTGTTCTTCTGTTTATCTTCTCCCGAATACTACAAAATACCCTGATTTATACCTGATTTACGTTGATTTGGTTCGTTATTTTCATTTTTATTCCGAATACACTCTATCACAGTCTACTTGCTGTATGGAATTCCCCATCTCGTTCATCGTTTCATTTATGATTTGATTTTTATCATTTATCTTATGTTTTTGTTTGGACGGTGGTCGCGGTGCCTGTAAATCGCATTCACAACAATGTAGCACCTTTTATGTATGGCTATATTCGAAAGAAAAATCAAACAAAAATCAACATTAGATGATACACAAAGTTTGATATGTACCATTGAAACAGCGCAAAAGGTCAACGGACACACGGTAAGACCAATTAGTTGTTTTTTGCTCGTTCAAATAATTTGTTTGTTTTCATTGGTTCGATCAACGCGCGCAAATTGATGCAAAATCAAGTGTTGAGAGAAAGACGAAAGAAAAAAAAATGTGCAAAAGTGAACGTGAATGCATTGCAAAAACTGAGTTTACCAACTATGTGACTCACCCAAATACACATCACCATATCGCATCACACGCTAAATCATCGCCGTGCACAAATTATCGGAACACATAATAATTAAATAAAGACATTATGCATCGGGGGAGCTCATGCAATACGTATGCTTTTGGTGTGTTTTACAAACCGATGACAAGCGACCATAATGAAAACCAAATTCTTTGCGTCAATGAACACCGAATTCAATTAACAATTCGAATTATGTTGTTGAATGCGTCAGAAGGGAAGAGTTTTTAATAATTCAAATTTGGTCTTTCTTCTCTCGCATGTTGATTTGGTTGGACATATAAATAGTTGTCTATTTTTGTGGAAATGCTATGGTAATGTCGATTGATTTGCGTGTCAATTCTGTTTTTCTTTTCGATGTCGTTGTTTTTCTTCTTCTGTTGTTTGTATGAAATTCCCTTTCCATTTGGTTTTTATTTTTGGTGTACTAAATCAAGTAAATCGTTTTCATTTTTTTCTGTTCTGTACTTGTGTCTCTGTCTCATTAAAGGAATATGTGCTTCGAGTGCAAAGAGGTGTTTCGAAAGAGAATACATGGCGCGTTCTAAGAAGATACAATGAGTTTGTGGCATTACATAAAGAACTACAAATCTCCGGTATTGAGCTACCGTTGCCTGGAAAGAAAATTGTTGGTAAGAAGCAAGTTTCTATTAGAAGAGTCGCTTGTAAAGTTTGTTTCGAAAAAAGAGAAAAAAGTTTCGTGTTCTGTTTTGAAAAAGCATATAAATGTTTTAAAAAAAAAGGAAATTTATTGTTCTGTGCTCCAGTTCGCGAATCAAGAACATTTCAGTTGTTCCATCAAGTGAAATTAATGCATTTTCATTTTTTTTATTTTGCATTGTGTGAATTGTGGTGGTGATAGGTAATATGCGCCCAGAGTTCATAGCTGAACGACGATTGGCATTGCAAAATTATATAAACATTGTACTAATGAATCCAATACTGGCATCATCGCTTCCGGCAAAGAAATTTGTGGATCCGGAAAGTTATAATCAATCATTCCATGATATCGCCGTCCAAAATGCGGCATTGTGTTTGCGCACCGAAGGTGCCTATACGTTGGGCAAAACGCTCGGTTTGATCGGATGGCGCATTCGCAAGCATTATTTTAAAGTGACCACAAAAGCGAATGCCAGCGGTGCAACGGCTCAATCAAGTGGCAGTAGCAGCGGTGGCAGTCATTCAAGTAAACATATCCTGACCAAATCCAGTTCACAATCGCATTCGAAGCTATTGTCAACGGCGGCGAGTCTATCGCTAGAATCACAGCCCAAATGTTTGGAGGGTGTGGAATTTTTAACGATGGCCTGGAGCGAATACGGCCCAGACAAATACATCGACGAAAAAGAGATTCACAGCACACTAAAAAGTTTGACCACCATTCAACATCCATTCATCATGCCAATCGAATATGTGGCAAGTAACGATAGTGGTGCTTTATTCATACGTAATTTCTATACAAAGGGAAGCCTAAAGGATTTGCTCTATGGGACATCGCCGAAGAATCCGTTTCTACAAAAGTATGGCAACCCAATTGGACGCGGCCGGGGACCAATGGCAATCAAAGATATTGCCATCTATGGCCGACAAATTTTGGAAGCGCTTCAATTTCTACATTCCAAAGGATTACCTTGTGGTAGGGCGGGCCTCCATTGCATTAACAACGCAACACGCCTTAATTGAATTTCAATTTGAGCTAATGTATGTTTGCTTTTATTATTATATTTTGTGTCCGTTTATTTAGGTCACATACATGCGGGCAATGTGATAATTGTTGATGGGGTTGCGCGTTTGGTTGACATTGAGAATTTCATTCTTGGCGTGGCTTCGTTTTATCGTCCATTTTTCATGCAACACAGCAAAATTAACACCTATGAATTGATCGATGTGTATAGCTTTGCTCATCTATTGTACGAGCTTACATTTGGGTATCCACTGCAAGAGTCTATCATTCGCCATCCCATTGAATGTCCATCGGAAACGCTGAGTACGTAATTTTGGACGTTCTATTTTTGTTTTCAACCTAACCAAAGGATATTATGGTTGAATTTTGCAATAATTTTTGTTTCTTTCTTCGCGCCTTGCAGAAGACTTACTGGAATCAATCCTATCGAAGGATGCATGCAAAGTGGGCTTGCCAAGTTTGGAGCGTCTGATTCATCATCCATTCTGGCAGGAATACGTACCGAAATTCCACGAGCAATACATGAGCGGAAGTGATGCCACAAAACACAACCTTAAATTAACGAATAACGCCAAAGAACAGATCAAAATTGCCGCACAAAAAACGGAACAACGTCTTCGTGATGAACAAAAATCTGTGAGTATAAGTGAAGAAGAGAAAAATACGATCCAGTCATTCGAAAATTGGCATTAATTTGGGTTACACTTGTTTTGTTCAGGTGAAAAATCAAAAACGTCTAGTCAGAGTTCAAGAGCTTATGAGTTCCGAAGAGGAGAAAAAGAAAATCAAACATCAAAAAGCTGTAAGTTGTTCGATGCACCTATTCAGCCATCCATTCAAATCGATGTTTCTAACTATTTTATTCTTTCATTTCGATAGAAAGCCGAGCAAAAACAATCAAAACTGCGACAACAAAATTCACTACAACTAGATGCGTTACAATTGAATTCGGTGCCAAATCCTACGCCAACTGTTATGCCACGATCTGACAGTTCTGTGTCCGTCGTTCATACGGGTCAGTAGAATGAGAAACAAAATTGAATCAAAAACCAAAACTCTGTCTCAAAACAACGTTTTAACATCTAATTGCTAACCTCACATTTAAACATAATTTTTCCATTGTCTCTCATGCAATATATGTGCCGATGTGTGGAATTAAAAACGAAAAAAAAACATTTCGTTGAAATTGTGCGCACAATGTGTCACATACACACAGGTAATATAAGTAGTACAGTAACACCAGCTGCATCTACCTCGATGTCGAATGTAACGGAATCGTCGAGCGGACAAGAAAGTGTTGGCGAAAATCGTACTTTGCTACTTGATTCAATTTGTAATTTTGATAAATCGGCACTAAGAAAGCTAGCTTAAAAACACAAAACACGGACACGGACATTTTCAACTCGCTAAATGTTCCGCTAAATTCATTCGAAATACAAAAAAAAAACAAAAATCCATAGAATTTGAATTGTTATCGATCGATGGTGTATCGTAAATGCTACAATATGCACAATACGCAGATAAAACAAATAAAATATGAAGAAACAAATATTTAATGAGAAACTAAACACAGAGAGATAAACTTAAATTCAAACCAAAATAACGTTTAATCGTCAATATCAATGTGAAACATTTTAGAATTTATATCATATACACAGACAAAATAATGATTAAATTATACAGTCAAATATACAATTCTATTATATACTTAACAAATAAAAGAATTCAAAATACACACATATATATATATTAGATATATATTTAATACCAATTAAGATTATGAATGTTTTGTGAAAGCTCACGAATTAAGAATTATGTCAAGCATTTCATCTTTTTTTAATAGTGCTAATGGAAAATGATGTGCCAAAGCACAATAAAAATGGAAATATCGACGAAAAATAGATTCCGTAGCCATAACATAAATGTGTTAAATGTAAACAAAAAAGCTCAATGTTGAAGAAGAAAGAAAAAAAACTCAAGAAAAAACCAAGACCAAAAAAACTTATTGTGTCTAATATATTTGTAATAAATGTACACCAGTATTAAATGTTGAAATATGTCGCAATTCATTCTGTTCCCGAACAAAAAAATGCATTTTCCTTTTTCTTATCGAATTTTTTTTTTCCATCAAGTTACCAGGTTAAATGGGATTGTTTCTTTTTAATTAAATTTTGTGCGTGTTTTTTCGCTCAAGTTCAGCTGTGATGTGTTGAATGTTGTTAAACTTACCAGAATGCCTTCAGTTGGACTATTCAATCAATTTTGAGAAAAAATCAATGAATCAATGTCCAATACTCAGATCATTTCAATAGAATAAAAAAAAAACATCTATCCAACTTTGTTCCGTTTGAAGTCGACCAAAACATTCCAGTCGTCCAGTGTCTTTCTCGCATCGGAGCGCGCTCGCTCTCTCTCTCTCTCTCACTCTTCCTCCGCCTCGATTTGCATTTGAAAT